TACCTTCATCAACTGTTTCTTTAACATACCTCAAGATTCTCTTTGCAGCTTGCCAATGAGATTGTCTTAGTGATTCCATGAATTTGCTTATGACCCCAACTCCGTAAACTATGTAAGGTCTTGATGCTGTCAAGTACTTGAGACTTCTCACTAACATTTTAAAATTTGTTGAATTAACAAGATTTGCACCACTTTCTTTTGCAAGCTTCAATCTTTCTTCAACTGGTGTTAGTATTGGTTTGCATGCCTCCATCTTGAATTTCTTCAAAATATCTGTTGCATATTTCTTTCGAGAGATAAAAATTTCATCATTTGTCTATTTCACATCAATGCCCAGAAAATAAGACATTAGACCTAAATCTATCGTTTCAAACTGAGTACACATATTCTCTTTGAATTTAGTCAACAATTTTAAATTATTGCCAGTGAAGATTAATCATCTACGTACAGACAAACAATAATTATATCTCCAACCTTATTTGTTTTTACATATAAGACATGCTTATATGGACTTCTATAAATTGTTGATGAAGTATGTATCAATACGTGTGTACCAAGCTCTAGGTGCTTGTTTCAATCCATATAATGCTTTCTTCAACTTGTAAACCTTGTCTTCCTCTTTTTGTTGTTGATAGCTTGGTGGTTGCTCAACATAAACTTCTTCTTCAAGTATACTATTCAAGAAGGCAGACTTGACATCCATCTGATAAATCTTCCATTTATTTTAAGCTACAAGAGAAGGAATCATACGTACCGTGTCCAATTTAGCCACCGAAGCAAATACTTCAAAATAATCAATGACAAATTTTTGTTTATACCCTTTTGCTACCAATCAAGCTTTGAAACGATCTACCTCTCCTTTTGGTTTGAACTTTGTTTTATACACCCATTTGACACCTATTGGCTTCTTCCCTTTTGAAAGTGTTGTTAACTCCCAAGTATCATTCTTCTCAATTGCATAAATTTCTTCATCCATTGGTTTAATCCAACAATCATCATTAGTTACTTTCTCATATGTCATTGGATCACAGTCTGCAAATAAGGCATAATAGGTAACTTCTTCCTCCCTATCTTTCGAATCATCATCTCTACCAACTTCATAATCTTGCAAGTGATAAGGTGGACGTCACTCTTTTTGTAGATATCTACTAGGTGGTGAATTTGATGTTGATTCATCAGATCTATCAGTACCTGTTAGTGATTCTTTATTATCTGGTTGTATTTCTTCATTTATAGTTACTGGTACAGGCACCAACTCTTTTTCTTTTTTTGTCCAGTCCCACGGCATCTTCATTAAAGGTAACATCACGACTAATGATTATCTTTTGGGTTTCTGAATTATACAACTTGTAAGCTTTTGTTTCTTCATTGTAACTTACAAAGACGCATTTTTCTGCCTTGTTATCGAGCTTCTTTCTTAGTTGATCAGGAACATGTGCATAAGCAATACAACCAAAAACTTTCAAGTGACTGAGATTTAGCTTTTGAGTTTTATCACATACACTTTCAACTGAACATCTATTTAAGATGTAAACTGCATAGGTCACTGCTTCAGCTTAAAAACTCTTTAGTAATTTCTTGCAATGTAGCATGTTTCTAACCATGTCTATGATGATTCTATTCTTTCTTTTTGTCACTCCATTTTGTTGAGGAGTGTATCTTGCAGTCATCTGATATTTAACTCCCTGTTTTCTTAGGAAATCATCACAAACTATATACTCTGTACCCCTATAGTTCTCAACGCTTTCAGATTATAACCACTTCATCTTTCAACATATGACATAAAACTTTTAACAGTATTACAAGCATCAGATTTATTTTTCACAAAATATACCCACGCCTTTATACTAAAATCATCAATGAAAGTAATAAAGTATTTGTTATCTCCATTGGATGGAATTTTAACATAACATAAATTAGAGTGCACCAGCTTAAGTGGTTTTGTAGCTCTCCAAGCACGTCCTTTAGGAAAAGAATCTCAGTGCTTTTTACCAACTACACAAGCTTCACATAGTTGATCAAGAGCTTGAATAATGGGCAAGCCAGTAACCCATTTTTTATTTGTAAGAAACTTGATGTTTTCAAAGTTGAAATGTCCAAACCGCATATGCTAAAGCCAATTTTCATCAACAACTATAGTTTTGCAACATAAACCAGTATCATACTTGATGTTCATAGAAAATAAAAGATTTCTTGACATGTTTGTCATTGCTAGTAGGTCCATCTCAACATTATTTATGGTGCAACCTTTCTTGTTGAATTTTAAATCATAGCCTTTTTTAGCAAGTTCTCCCACACTTAGGAGATTCTGTCATATACCATGAGTGTAGAATGTATCATAAATATAATTCAAAGATCTATCTTTCAATCTAATAGCAATCTTTCCTTTTCCTAAGACTTCAAGATTTGTGTTATCACTAAGTATGATTGAAGTATGGTAGCTTTCATCAAAATCAGAAAATAGTTCTTTTTTTTTTCTCGCTTAGATGATTACTACACCCTGTATCTAACAACCATTGGTTGTCATTTTATCAGCTACTGCGTGACTTGTTGTAAGCACCATTTTCATTCCTTCATTCTTTCTGCAACTCGAGCGTGACTTTCTGTAATATTCAATCCTTTAGCATGACATTCTTGACTATAGTGACTATACTTATTACAGTTATGGTACTGAATATGAGATTTGCATTAAGACTAAAGATACTTGCAAATTATTTAGAGTTATTATGTTGAGATCTTTTGCTTCTTCAATAGTTGCTATGACATAATCAAAACGAGGTGACAACGTACGTAGAACTTTCTCCATGACTTCTTTCTCTTTTATATCATCACCGTTGTTTTTCATTTCGTTGACAAGTTTGTCCATTCGTAAAAAATAATCACGAATGCTTTCTTCTCTGCTTTGCTCCATCAGCTCAAACTAAGGTTTCAAGCCTTGCAACCTTGTTTGTTTGACTGGGTCAACTCTTTCATATGTTTTGAGCAAAATTTCGCATGCCTCTTTTACTGTTTTAGCATGGATAATTTTCTCAAGAACAGACAACTTCACATATTGACATATTAAGAATAAAGCCTTTTCATTGAGTTGATCTTTTTCTATCTGCTGCTTATTAACTTTTGATTGTTCTTCTTCTTTTGGTTCAGCATAACCTTTCTCTACAATTTCTCCATAACCACTAGTTCTTAGATATAGCTTCATCAAGCGTTTCCACATAGCTAATCTACCATCGAATTTGAAGATGACTCCTTGTGCTTGTTGAATTTGGTTTGCTCCTATGCTTGAACTTATGCCATTTTGGATCAACAAAGCTCTAATACCAGATGTTGGCAATTAAAATAAATTGCCTAGTTGAAATATCATTGTTGTTGTGACAAAGATGAATACTCAAGGAATAATTTTTCTATTAAAAAAATCAATACATTCAATAGAACTTTGACTTTGCTAATAGCTAATTACACACTCAAACAACTATAAGAAAACTCGCTAGAGCTTCTCTCAAACACAAATCTCTCATAACAAAAGCTAAGTAATAAACTATTTCATAATGAAACTCCATATTTCATAGCATTCCCTGCTTATAAAGTTTGGAGGAAGCCATCTCACTTAATAATTAAGCAAAACAACTTCAAATTAAATTTGTCTTCTTTTATACTGTTGAAGATTTTAATTTGGACTTGTCTTCTTTTATAATGAAGAAGAACTCAACTTAAATTTATCTTTTTTTTATGATAAAGAAAAGTTTAACTTAAATTTGTCTTCTTAATAATGTAGTATTTAATTTAGATTTGTCTTCAAGTTTAATTTCTAACAGAAAACTAAAGAAAAGTGTTCAACAAAACAACCTAGTAACAAGAAATAATGAACTGATCAAGTTAACTTATGGTGCATCTTGAATAAAATGTGAAAAAAAATTTAAATTCCAAATGGGTTAGATGCCTTGTTCAAAATTTTAGTTTTGATTAATTTAGATTCGAAGTATTTTTTTTCAATTTCAAAAACAAGTCTTTTATGAAAAAAAATTTAAAAAGGCTTTTTTTATAAGTGAAAAAAGAAAAATAATTACATAACAAAAAAAGACAAGCTTTTAAAAGTGCTTTCTTTTTTCAAAATTTAAAATAATACGAAAAATTATAAAAGGCACTTAATTTCAAAAAGCTTATTTATTAAATATTAAACTTTTTCAAACATATTTTTAATTTAAAAAAGTACCCAAAAAGTGCAAGCATATATATACCAACATGTAGTAGGATGGAGAATTGTTTTTCATACGCTTTAATGGAAAACTTTCAAGAGTCTATTTGTGTATATATATATTTATATGTGAATATAAAAAAAATAGGAAGATAAATATCAGCATCACGACGTTAATATCCATCCCTATCCTTATCATGTACTTGAGTTTGATATGGTCATCGAAACATTTTAATTTTATTGAGACACCAATATGAATGCATGAAAATTTGTGGAGGCATCATCTCACCCGCGTAGGGACATGGTCAAATTTTGTTTAAATTTGTGATTATATAATAAGTAAACGAAACCAGATTTACAATCTATTTTATTTGAAGTGCAATATAATAATAAGAGTTTAATTCATGTATTTTCAGCTTACAAATTTTTTTATAATAGCACGGCAATTATAACTTTTAAATTTTTTATACATAAAAAAATATCCAACAGAGAATCAATTTCAAAAATGTCAAATTTGTGTTAAAAAAATATTTTGCATGATTTCAACACACTCATTACTTAGTACGGAATCTGACTTAATTGCATATAAAACAATGAAGAAAGTGGAACGTAACAGCTAAGCAGCCAAGAATGTTCGAAAGCAAAGTTCCCAACGTGTGTATTGGTCGGCGTTTTCAACGGTGCTGTCAACAAATTAACGTCCGTTAAATAACCGCCCATTCACAACGACCAACGAACCTCGTTCCACCGTTACCGTTTGTCTTCTGTCTTTTCTTCTCTATATATCAGTTCCATTCACAGCGTTCTGAAACCTTGTTCTCAAATTGCGGTTTTCAAGCCACCCCTTCTCCAAGTTATCCTCATTCTTCCACTAAAACCATACTCTCACGAAGAAAAACCATATCATACATAAAAAATTGAAAGGAAATTCAGCAAAGTTTAGCTAACCACGTGTCTTCACTGTCTTGTAATTCCCATGAATCGAAGTCTTCTATAATGGTTAGGTGTTGAAGTTTATTAGTCTTTGAGGTAATGCTAACACCAATGTTTTTCACTTTCCTAGTCAATTTGTATGTTGCTTGTAAAAGTCGTATTAATGAATAATCAATACCCATGATGTGCTCCGTTCTTAAATTAGTCTATGTATCTGTTCTCTGTTTTTTTTTTTTCTCTGTTATGCTTTCATTTGTATAGATAAATATATGGAATAGATTCTCAAAATTTTCAGCTTTTGAATGGTTCTGACAGTCCTTGATGGATTGAGGTTCTTGCTTCGAAAGGAGATATTGGATTTTGTGTACTATTCTTTGATTGAGTGAAATCCTGTAACATCATTTCTGCTCTTCTGAAATGGAGTTTCATTTTTCTGGGTATCGACCAAAATTTCTTCTTTAATTGATAGGAAATAGTGTATATGCTACTTCCATGAATTCATCAAAGGAAATGGGAACAGTTGCAGAATAACATCAATGATAAATAACTGGGACAAGGTTTAATCTTTGGTTATATGGTTCAGTCGCAGCCCTCGATTCAAATTGAAATTTGGGTCTGCAATGAGAAATAGTAACTTACTTGGCACCGTTCTTCTTGTTGTTACTATTATTGTTATTACATGCTTCCTTAGTTCCTTTCTCTTGCCACTTGAAATATGGTGCACATTAGCAAATTAGTATTGTTAAGCTAGAAAATTGGGTCATTTGCTGGCATACATAGTATAACTAAGTCAGAAGATTTTCTCTTGATGTGAAAAAAAATTATGATGGAATGTTTCCCTCTTCTGGAATCACATTCTTTAGAATAAATTATGATGAGGTCTGTGTGTATGATTTGCTTAACTCTGTGTGCACAGTCTGTGTTATCTTTTATAGATGATTTTCTAATCTGATGATGAGAGTGAGAACATTACCACACCAAAACGTTGGCATTTGGAAAATCATTTTGATCGCTTTCCCCTCTAATATTTAGCTCGAAATTCATTAGTTCCATTTTATCTGATATTGGCACTAATTTTCCTCTTCAACCTGTGGAATCAGTTATTCCAAATCTCTGCTAAATTTATTCAATGAGCGAAGAGCCTTAGATGTGTTAATCAGCTTGTATTTTTTACTGTTTGCAAGTTCTTCTATTTCTTGTATGTATGTGAGATCATTTGTGTATGTCTCGTTTCTTCCATATTTATCATCTCCAGTTCTCCACTCGTTGGGCTCGTAGATGATTATTGTTGTGAACAATCATTTATGTGATTGTGGTGTTATGAAAATATTGACAAAATGCTTCTGTTTTTTCAGGTTTATCTGCTGTTGTTGAAAGTGTTGGGATACAAGTGCCAAGCAGTTGTTTCTAGCTGATGCCGTCATCATATTATGGACTCAAACCAGTTTTTCAGAGTGACTAGTTCAGCAGGAATCCCTTACACATCATCTTATCTTCCTATTTCTCCAATACCAAACCGGTTCCTTGGATCCTCGAAACTTGACATAGGAAACTCACCTAATTCGTCACTTTTTACTCATTTTGATTCTGAGACTATCTCTTCTGCACTGAGTGACAGCCAGGAACAGCACAGCTCCGGGGAAATTCACTCTGGTAGCAACCCTTCTTGTAACTCTTTTCAGGATAGCAAACATTTTTTGCAAGACAGTGTGCATCTATCTGCTAGGAGCTTTCTGGGGCATGATGCAAGCTATGCCCATGAAAACAGACATTCATTTCTGGAACTAGAAACTGTTCTAATGGCACCTGATGGAGATGATCAAGTCACCACATCAAACACATCTGGCCAAAGAAATAGGTTCTGTAGCCATGAGTGCCAGTCAAGTGAGGTAGCATATGTAGAGAAGCATCACAAATCAATGGAGGAAGCGTCAATAGAAAGATTCCCATCAAGCAATTTGAAACAACTGCTGATTGTGTGTGCCAAAGCATTGTCTGACAACAACATGAAAGATTTTGCTCAACTGATAGAAAAGGGTAAAAGTGTTGTGTCTATAACTGGGGAGCCAATCCAACGGCTCGGTGCTTATTTGGTAGAAGGGCTTGTTGCAAGGAAAGAGGCATCAGGGAATAACATCTACCGTGCCCTTAGGTGCGGAGAGCCTGAGGGCAAAGACTTGCTCTCTTACATGCAAATGCTCTATGAAATCTGCCCCTACTTAAAATTTGGTTACATGGCTGCCAATGGAGCTATTGCTGAAGCTTGTAGGGATGAGGACTTCATTCACATCATAGACTTTCAGATTGGTCAGGGAATTCAATGGATGACCCTTCTTCAAGCTCTTGCAGCAAGACCTGGTGGAGCTCCACATGTCCGAATCACTGGGATTGATGATCCTGTTTCAAAATATGCTCGTGGTGGTGGACTAGAAGCAGTTGGAAAAAGATTGGCTGTGATCTCTCAGACATATAACATCCCAGTTGAGTTCCATGGTGTGCCTGTTTTAGCTCCAAATGTGACAAGAAACATGCTTGATATTAGGCCTGGTGAGGCTTTGGCTGTGAACTTTCCCTTGCAACTCCATCACACTGCTGATGAGAGTGTTGATGTAAGTAATCCAAGAGATGGACTTCTGAGATTGGTGAAATCACTTTCTCCCAAGGTAACTACATTGGTGGAGCAAGAGTCAAACACAAATACCACTCCTTTCTTCAACAGGTTTGTAGAAACCTTGGATTATTACTTGGCAATATTTGAGTCCATTGATGTGTCTCTTTCAAGAAAGACCAAGGAAAGGATTAATGTGGAGCAACACTGTTTGGCTCGAGATATTGTCAACATTATTGCTTGTGAAGGGAAGGAAAGGGTAGAGAGACATGAACTGCTAGGCAAGTGGAAGTCTAGGTTGACAATGGCTGGCTTTCGCCAATACCCTCTGAGTTCTTATGTTAATTCTGTCATAAGAAGCTTGCTGAGATGCTATTCAGAACATTATAATCTTGTGGAGAAGGACGGGGCCATGTTGTTGGGATGGAAGAACAGAAATTTGATATCAGCTTCAGCCTGGTATTGATCATACACACAGGAAAAAATGAAGTGGTAGAAATATGTTGCTGACTAAGGTTTATGTTAATTTTCAGGGTCATGTGTCCCTCATCATCGTTTCAAAGGTCACTGTTCCTTAAATTTGTCTATTGAGTTTCATGTCATAGTGATGCAGATTACTGTATACCAATTCTTTTATCAAATGTTTAGTTATGTACACTATTTTGGTCTAGAAATATTGTAGTTGTAGCTGAGACTTATAATCCTCAGTGTCCAATAAAAATTACATGAATTCACCATAAGTTTCCAACAGAGTGATTTACTACATTCTTATGGGATACAATTTGTTACATTATCATTTTGTCTTGACAACTTTTTTTGCATAAGCTGGTCATTTTATATTGACTATGCACTCATTGTGACAGAAACTGGTTTAGATATTGAAGAAAGACCGCGATTACTAACAGAAATTCTAATACAATCTACATATTATAGGCAACTGATGCAAGCTAATTAATTGAGAAATATAACTACTAATGAGTAATTAACATTACGTGAACTCTCAATTTTGTTTAGATCATTTTATTCATTTGTCTGATTACCACATAATTTTAGAAAATAATAATAATATAGTTCGTTTACACTTGATTATTTACAAGATAAAAATAATGAACCCAAAAATTTTAAATAAACTAATTTTAGAACTTTTTCTCTAACCTTGTTCTTTGTTTCAAATTATAATATTTAAGAATACATTGCACAATAATTTAAACTTAAAAGTAAATTTTAATTTTATAAATATTAAAACTATAAAACAACTTTAACTTTAAATTTAATTCATATTTTAATTTTAACTTTATAGTAGATTTTTAAATTTTCAAAGAAATTAATACGTGCTACTTCTCAAGACTTTATCCCTTTTTATAAATTTTATATCGTAAAAAACTTCAAAAATAAATTTTGAATTAAAATCATCGTAATAGTTTTAATAAATTATGTTTATTATTTAAAATGCTTCATCTTAAAATTTGCGTTAAGCCTATATTACGTTGGGCCACCATGATTGGGTACTCGAGTTTGTTCCTTTAAAAGGCAATGCCAAAATTAATTGCATTGGATAATTCACTATTTTAAACAAACTAAATCAATAATCTGAATTAATTCACAGATATAATTGCATATTTGGTCGCTGTATTGTAATTTATATGTAATTTTAAACTTTTTAATTTTGATTGATCGTAATTAATTAATTAATTTTTAGTTGTTTAAATTAATTTTCTCACTACAAAATGTTAAATAATAATTAATAAAAATATAATAAAAGTGTAAAAAAGTATAAACATTGAAATAAAAATACCAATAAAATTAAACTGAATTTATCAGTCATCAAATGTATATACACTAACTTGTTATCTGCAAAGAACGGGCCTAAGCTATCATTTTAAAGTTTTTATGTTTTTAATTTGACTTGCATTAACACTTTGTTTGATGTGGGCTGGCCCAAGATAGACTAAGTAGTTCAAATTAACAGCTTTATTGAAATTAATCAACGAAATTCAAAATCCTTTCTTATAAAAAAAAAACGTAAACTTGTATTTTTATTATTATACTAAAAAATACATAAATTTATATGTTGGGTCAATATTATCCATCTTCATAATTTATTTTTTATTTACTTATTTTTCCGGGTCAAATAAATATTTTTAAAATGATTTTAAAATTCATACAATTAATTTAAGAACCATTATTTTAAAACGGTAAGTAGAATGGTAGCACATTTCCGAGTCATAGCAAACTCTAGATTCAGATACTTTTTAGGAAAAAAATCAATAATTTTTCCTCAGCACCTTAATGATGACTCTTCTTTTAAAACAAAATATTTTTAAATTTTCATTCGCTTGCCACCATGATTCTTCTGCACCACGTTATTAAAGAGAATAAACAAAGGATGTTGTCAATATTTGAAATTTCTACGTTAAAAAGTGAAGACATTAATATAAAAAAGTAAGGGCCATATCTAATTTCGTATCTATGGGGTCTTGTTTAGGCTTTTTTTTAAGCAATTGGTTCACTTAAGTAACTTTTTCCCCCTTTTGTGTATATGACATTCACTAATCTCAAGTGGAGGTTAATTTAAATCTTTTAAGTTTAGAAATACTATGTAATTTTTAAATTTAAACTAAAGATTAGTTTTTTTATTTTATTTATCTAATTGTAAAAAATTATTTCTTTCCTAAATAAAGAGATACTCGAAGTTGTTACATCTCTAAGTTTAATTAAAAAAAATCAAATAATATTACATCTTTTAAAAACAACTTTTAATACATACTTAACATAATATTAAATAAAATCATATTTTAGAAATATAGAATTAATTTATATTAAATGTTAAACTTAATTAATAAGATGAAACTTTTAATTTTTTTTTGTTGTGTCATTTTTAGAGCGTGAAAAATAGGGGATGATATTATCACTGTGGAAGATAAAAACATGTGATTCTTTTCCATGAAATTGGTGTGGCTCATATTATAAATAAATTATTAATATTTAGTTAATATTTAATTTATTGGTGGTGTTTGGTGGGAGTGATGGAAGGATAGGGATATTAGATTTGTTCGAGCAAATATAATTTCCCGATATCAGATCTCTTATTTTAACTTTTGTCCAAATTAGAAGATCCTTTAATCTACTTCCACCATGATTGTGGTCTTATAAAAAGATAAATTATAAGTGTAATACCTAATATCTCTTTTTCTTTTTGTAAATTATAAATGTAATTCCTAATCTCTCTCTGTGTGAAGTAATTAAATTGATAAATAGAGCATCTTTTTAATTGAGAAATAAAAAAATATAATGAGAGAACGGATATTTAAATTTAATACATGTAATCTAGGAGAAAAGTTTTAATTATTTCTTTAAAGATGAAACTGTTATTAAATAGGTCTTTTAAACATTTGGATAACTAAATTTTAAGAATTTAACTCGCAACTATATTAATTTTGAAAGTTTTGTCAATAAATTTGTCTTTTATCACTACTTTAGTTATTTATAAGGATTAATTTGATAAACTTTTATATATTTGTCCTCAAGGATAAATTTATCATAAGATTAAATTTTCACCATTTTTAATTTTTTAAAAAGACTAATATAGTGTCATTTAAACATTTGAAGAACTAATTTAGTAACAAAATATTTAAATATTATAAATATTCTTTGAAGACATAAATGTATAATTTTTAAAAAATATTATAAATATTCTTATCATAATTTTTAATGAGCTATTGATTTTGGATTGAATAAAGACAAACAATAAACCCATTCCATAAACATTCTTACTATTGATTTTCGTTCCATTAATCAATCACTTTAATGCACTAGTGTTATGGGAATATTATTTTATTCATTAAAATTTTGTATAAATATCTGAGTTACCTTCAATCTTCAACCAGCCAAAACCTTAAGCAACCTTTGCTTTTAGGCTAGTTAAGGATGTCTGCTTCATCTTTAACACTCGGTTGCTTCAACCCAGATGTGAAATCTGGCATGCATCGACATGTTGCAGATTTTCACCCTAGCATTTGGAGGGATTATTTCCTTCAATATGCATCAGAATCTACGGTACACAAATATTGCCACTTAACTGATCAACTCTTGAACGTTGTTAATTAGGACGTTTAACTTCTTGATTAACAATAATAGATTATTATTCTTATTTGTACCAAGTATTGTCCTCTGCTCATCAATCTTAACGAGGATTAAATGCCCATGTTAATTTTGTTATAAAATTCATTCGCTATTTGAATACTCTCGAATAAGGTTTTTCTTCAACGCATGCAGGAACATGATCATAACATTGGGATGCAACTTGAAGCACTTAAAAGAGACGTGAGCAAGATGCTTGTTTCAACAAAGACGGAGAAGCCCATAGCAAAAGTTGAGTTGATAGATTCAATCTGTCGTTTGGGTGTGAACTATCACTTTGAGGATGAGATTGAAGAGGTTTTGCAGCATATTCACAAGAACTATGTTGAAAAAGGAGAAATAACTCTTGAAGCCAACCTTTGCTCTCTTGCTGTGCTGTTTAGGTTATTGAGGCAACATGGTCTCCACGTTTCTCCTCGTATATTCCTCAATCCATTCCCTTTCTTTAATTAGTCTTTCAATCGCTTTATAGTTTCTGCATAAACTAAACACTAATTAGTTAGAACGAAGAAAACAAGTCTTATAAAAAAAAAAACAAGTAATTTGGCAATAAAAATGGTGTTTAGTTTGTATTATTAATTAATACTTTTCACGTCCATCGGCTACTTGCATCTTTATTATCTGTCACTTAAATAATATTTTTGAATGTCTCAACATGTATAGTACTTCATTTGAATGGGGTATAGCACCTAAACTATTTAGGTTATCTTATTACAACTTGCTTTTTAATGGACTTTTCTTTAGAAAAAGTTTATTTATTTTATTAATTTTTTATTATTAAAATTTTTTTACATATACAAAAACTTAAATATGATATTTTTTTAAATAATACTAAAACCACTTATTACTCGAACTAATTTTTATTAGTAAAAAAATTTATTTTTTAACATAACTAGTCTTCATGCATTATAAAATTATAATACTTATGTATACTTACATTATTTTTTCTTTCTACATAATAATTACATTATTTTTAAATACCATGCAAATTAAATTATTTCTAAAGTTTAATTATTTTATTAGAATTTTTTTTGTTTAATAAATATTTAAATAATTAAATAAGATATAATTACATAATTAAGTATTTAATCACTCAAAATTAATTTTTATATAATATTTTTAATATAAAAATATATATTATATTGTCTTTGATTATTAAATAAGTCATAAAAAAATTATTTATAACTCATGCTGTCTTAAATTTATTGTAATATAAGGCTTTCTAAATAAAATACTCATTTAAAAATTTAAAAAACAGTTAATTTTTATTATTATTTTCTTTTGTCTTGTAACGATTTATAATAAGGGCGTGTGAATTATTTTTGCCTCCTATATTATTTATTGTAGAATAATATATATAGTTATGCTATCTTATATTTTAAATATTATAATTTTATAAAAAATAATTTAAATCTTACAATAAATTACTTTTTATCAAGATTTAAATTAACAAACTATTTTAAAAAAATATTTAAATAGATTTACATGACTTTAAATTTTTCATTTGAGTTGAAGATATGTAGAAGTAAAAACTGAATTTGTTAAGTTAAAATAATTTTTTTAAAATATCAATAAATTATCTTTCTCTTCAAAATATAATGATAAATTTTAGTATTTATGAGTTAAATAAATATTTTTAAAATTATAATGAATTTATATATTAAATTTAAAGTAATTATTATTTAAATGCATATTTTAGAGTGTTAATATTTTTTATATATAAATTACTTTTGAACTTGATTTTTTTTAAAGATTATATTTTTTTTAATTTTTCTAATATTTTTTAATAAATTTTGGTGATAAATTCTTTGATTTTTTAAAAAATATTTATTTTTGCAAGATGTTTTTAAAAGTTTTTGCTGTCTTGTTCGATATTTTGTGTGTTTTTTAATTATTAATTTTTTTAATTTAGTCCCTTTGTTTAAAAGGAACTGCTTTAATCTCTGGTTAATATTAAATGATGATGTGACTAATTTTAATATTAAAATGTATTAAATTTTGTGCCTCAATGTGAGAAAGTAACCCAAACCATGCAACAGTTTAAAAAAATGTAAAAATTTTAAAAAGATTATTCTATAAAAATCAAAATCAAAACTTAATGTGCTTAAAAACTAAAAACATATTTAACTTTTTGGTTTTGTTATATGTTATTGTTTTTAACGACCTTTCGTTGTTGTGATTGTTCAATAAACACTAGTTGTGTTCAACAAGTTCAAGGATGAGCAAGGAAACTTTAGTGAGAGCCTTATTACTGATGTTGAAGGAATGCTAAGCTTGTATGAAGCCTCACATGTGATGGTTCATGGAGAGGACATTTTAGAAGAAGCTTTTGCTTTCACTTCCACTCACCTTGCGTCCATTGTCACCACGTTGAACCCTTCTCTTGCAGCACAAGTCAACCATAGTTTAAGGCAAGCTATCCACAAGAACTTACCCAGGCTAGAGGCTCGACGATACATTTCTATCTATGAGCAAGATCCTTCACATAATGAAACTTTACTGACTTTAGCAAAATTAGATTTCAATATATTGCAAAATCTACATCAAAAAGAGTTTGGCTACATATGCAAGTAAGTTCTTCAACTACACAAACTTCCCAAACAAAATAATAATAATAATGTTAAATTGGTTCCAAAGACTAGTTCTTGTTGCTATTATTGATTTTGGTCTTTATAGGTGGTGGAATGAGTTGGATGTCCCTGGTAAACTACCATTTGCTCGAGACAGAATTGTGGAATGTTGCTTTTGGATCTTGGCTATATATTTTGAGCCTGAATATTCCCAAGCAAGAAAAATAATTATGAAAGTAATTGCCGTGTTATCAATTATTGATGATACTTATGATGCATATGGAACCGTTGACGAATTAGAACTTTTGACTGAGGCAATTGAAAGGTTTATTAGCACTTATATACCATAAATCTTCTTCACTTTTATTAAAGAGAAATATGTGAAAGTGATTGTAACAAAAAGTGATTTTCAGGTGGGATATTAATTTCTCGGCTGATCTCCCAGAATACATGAAATTAACTTACAAGTCACTCTTAAAGGTTTATGAAGACATAGAGCAAGAAATGATGGAGGAGAGAAGAGCATATTGTGTTAACTACGGCATAAAAGAAGTATGATTTTTTCCCTTTACCCTACTATTAACAATCTGGTATATCAAATTATTTTGTGGTCTTAACTGATAGACTCGTGGGCCGGGTCTTTAATTCATAAATTGAATTGAGAATTTGTGAAGTGTCACCAAGATCCTTTTAACACATGCTAATAACCAAACATAAAAGGAAGCACCCCTTGACATTAAAAACTATATATTATGATTTCATGCTAAGAAAAATGCCATTACGATTCTATCATAAGTACAAGATATACTACTTTATGCAGAAAACAGTTTACTTAAGAGCTTAATAAATAAACTCTTATTTCATAACAAATTTATACCATGAATTTAACCATAAAATTTATTAATATAAAACAATAATTATAATTTATTTTAATAAGTTTTGCATAAACTCTTCCTAAGTCTCTTACTAATATATATAATATATCCATGCTATTGCCAGTTCAAAAATGTGGTCCAAGCCTACATGACTGAGGCCAGATGGCTCAACAACAACTATATTCCAACAACAGAGGAATACATGCAGATATCAACAATATCATGTTGTTACAAATTGCTGACGACAACAAGTTACATTGGCATGGGAGAAACAGCCACAGAGGACATCTTTAAATGGGTAACAAATGGGCCAAAAATTGTTAATGCTTCTTCCGTTGTTTGCAGGTTAATGGATGACATTGTGTCCAACGAGGTATATATAGTCTTTGATCTTTAAGAATTCCCTTCGATATCTTTGTTTCTTCATATATATAAATGATATAAATATATATGCGCACAAATTTTGTTTGTTGCACAGTTTGAACAGAAAAGAGGACACGTTTCCTCATTCTTGGAATGCTATATGAAGCAATGTGGTGTGTCTAGGGAAGTTGCCATCAATGAATGCCAAAAGAAAATAGCAAATGCTTGGAAGGATATTAATGAGGAATTTCTTAGGCCAACCACAGTTCCAATGCCTTTTCTAACGCGTGTTCTCAATTTGTCACGCTTCATGGATGTGATCTACAAAGATAAAGATAACTACACACATGCTGAAGGAGTAATGAAGACATATATTAAAGATTTGCTTGTTGATCCCCTGCCAATATGAGCATTCATTTCAGTCCTTTTATGCTTTGTATTTCTACATTAAAAAAAAAAAAAAACACGTCCACATGTGGGATTTGTTTTGCTGAATTATGTGGTGTGTAAAAATTATAAGTTTTATGCATGTGATGCATTTATGATGTGTACTGAAGTTTGAAGTTGTCTTTTCACTTTTACATTTATTGGAATCTCTCCAAGCTTTATTATTTTTATATTTAAATTTGATTTATTTTTTAAAAATGTCAACAAGTCTTCAAATATTTTTTTGAAATATTCTCTATCATTAAGTTTTATATAATATTGTTATAAATTATATTTAAATATTTTATTTTCCATACGTAAAACCCTTTTTTATTACAGTTTTTATAAAAGTTAAAATTATTATAAGGATCAAAATAAAATAAAAAGCGTTACATGTACGCAGAATAATGCAAAATGTGTTATGCATTTTGTAAAATGTCATATATAAATTAATGTTACGTATTTCGTAAAATGTTATATATAAAATAACGTGGATATAAAGATTGTTATAAAAAGATGGTACTAAAAGGTTGGGTGAAATGTGTGTACCTTAGATATTTTTGAGAGACTATTCATGAGATTGTTCATGAATAGGTAGAACTTATATGTAATGTCGGAAATATTTTAATATTATTTTTGAATTAAAATTAGAGTTTTAACATGGAATTTAATTCTAACCTTTAATACAAACCATTATTGTGTTAGTTATTGCAATATAGTTCTAATTTAATTTAAAAATAAAACCAAAGGCTTTAAAACACATAAGAGACTATGTTGAAATTTTGTTCATAAAACAAACAATTCATCATAATTTGTATTTGGCAGCATAGCTGTCCTGAATCCTGATAATGGATTTTCTTTCTAAGAACAAACAAAAGCAAAAACATGTGCATGTATTCATTCAGCCACAAAATTTGATTTGGGTACAGACTCAAATGATATTTTTGTCTCCTAATAAAACACAATCCAATCCTCAGTCTTTACTTGCCTTCTCTAACACCTTAATTTAATTTTTAAATAATAATTTCATAAAATAGGAGTAATAAAATTTTTATTTAAATAAAAAGATCCTATCATAGAATTTCATAAAACTATTCAAAATAATAAAAGATTACAAATTTATATCAAAGATAGTTACAGGACTAATTCAATTACATCATGATTTCAAAAATATAATCTAAGTCTTAAAGCAGTTCATCCTTCTTTCGGGTGGTGCTGATTGTCTTGGTTACCTGAAAAATAAACGTAAAGGTGAGTACTCTACACTATCCAACACACATAAACATAAAGACTCACTTCAAATACTACACATTTACTAACATATTTTGAATCATGCATTCACAGTACAAGCATCTCAATTTCAACCACAATCATCATTCATCTATTCCAATTCAAAGCACAACCGGTGCACTCACTACACCAACATTTCACGCACATGCGCTTACCGTATCTAGCCACCTTCACTGTGGTAATGTGATCACATTTTCAACTATGAATGGTCGCCAGTTACTCCCGCCTCACGGATACCGCGTGGACAATCATGGCTCGCTTAGCAAAGGTATTGGTCAAGGGTCTAGTCATGAGGAGAGTGTGTGGCCTGTGGTGCATCCACTCTCACTATTGGTGTCACCACCACTCTCTCTTCCCCAAGGTATTTCTACCGTCCCCATATTCCACACTCTAGTGTATCGCTGAACCATTCATAGCATCATTACAACGGCATTTAGCATGCCTCATTCACACACATTTCAATCACACACAATGTTCATATTCGCTCATGGCACTCAGGCCCACACTCACTCACAACACAAGACACAAGTGCCCATATTCATTCATGTTACATTCAACGCACAACATTTCTAACTCCCACACAACAATTTTCAGCATAATCTACATCAATTCCTCATCCTAATCTATTCATAATAGGGTCCAACATCATCAAAATCATACTAACATGCATTATTTATCAAAACACACCAGTTCACATGTCCTATCTCAATCACATTACTAAAACATAGCAAGTAAGGTGATTTTCAAACAAATTGAGATAGGGTAGAGTCCCTCCTTACCTCAAATAGAGACCCACACACCAATTCAACAAGGTAGGTGCTCTCCCACACGAACTTGACCAAAATACATGGAAGAACCCCATGAAAATCCAAGAAAATCGAGAAATCAGAGGATAGGGATGAGAAACCAAAATCCTAACTATTAAAACTCACCTTCATTCCCTACACAAATCCAACCTTCAATCTTGCTCCCAAGCGGCTTGGAGTCAATTTAATCGGTAAAATAGGGTTTGGGAGTGAGAGAATTAAAGAAATCTTGAAGGAAAAGTGAGAAATAACCCTTTCCCAAACCCTAACCCCTTTAAATTCTCTTCTGGTCGTGACAATCTTGCTACAGCGAGGGGACACCCTCTCTCGCTACAGCGAAAATATCAAAAAAAATTACATCATGATTTCTGTAGAATCTCGCTACAGCGAAACTGCACCACAAACTGTTACTTTGTCGCTATAGCAAGATACTCTCGCTATAACGATAAGGCGACAGTTTCATGCCTTCCTCCCAGGACCTTTTCGCTACAGCGATAACACCCTACATCAAAACACTTAGCCAAATTTCAGTTTGATTCCAGTATACACATGTATTTTTATCACCCTATATATATATATATATTCATAATAATTAATAATAACACATGAAAGTCCACGTAAATACTTATATTAATAATTAAACTATATTATAAATTTTGAGACATTACACCCTCTCTGTTAGCACACGCCTCTGGTATCTGAAATCCATTGAACCACAAAACTTTATTACTGTAAGGGATCAATTTTAAACATAGGTTTTTTTTTTTTTAATTGAAGGTTGAGTTCATTTTAATCATTTATAACAATATCAACTACTCACTCTTTATTAAAATTAGTTTTTAATTTTAATTATAAAACATTAAAAATAATAATAAAATTACGTATAAATTTTGTCCAAGATATTTTAGTCTGATGATGAAAATTCCCCAAATCTACGTCTCAGGCTGCATCATATGACAAGATGATGATTTCATAAAGACACTGTCCTTTCTCAAATTTCTGTGGACCAAGCTCACAAATTATTGTGAGATATTAATTTAAGAATTTTGTTAATGTCAGCTTTTAAGATTGAAAATAAATAGTTAATAATAATAAAATTTTATTAAAAAATTATTTATTGTATTTTTTATAATTTTAGTATAATAATTATATTTTTTTATAAAAAAATTTTATTTGTAGATGTTTAAAGTCATTATTAAGAATTGAGGTTAATAAAATACTTAATTTAAAAAGGAACCTATAAAATTTTTGTAATTTTTAATAAATTTTAACTAATAATAAAAAGTGTAGTATTATTCATGTTTATGCCTCATGCAACTTGCAAGGACATACCCAAAGTAGGGAAATTGGTAGAAAAATTGAAAATAGAAAGAAAATAAAAATATAATATAAAAGAATAAAAAGATAAAAATCAGAAAAAATTTGCATGAGTTAGGATTTTGATGTTTTTTTTATACTGGAAGGGGAATTTTTTTAGTTGGGTGAATTGAGAATATAAATAACGTAACTAATTTTCAGTCTGAATTAGATTAATATGTTTGATCCAATTTTAAAATCAATGGTCTTAACAAATTTTAAGTGTTTTATAGTGATTTTTTTTTGTAACACTTGACAAGCTTTTTTGGTAAAATAAAAAATTTAGTGATCATAATGATTTTCTTTCTTGTTTATATACAGAAATAGAAGACATAGTTGAAATAATGGTTTACATGAAAATAAGTAAAAATAAATAGAGTAAAATTTAGTAAAAGACCTTATGTAAGAAAGAGATTGGATTCAAATGTATTTACTAATATTTTATCTTCAAATGAATAAATATGATTTTAACTAGTTTACTTTCACATTCATTAGTAACTTAACTAGATTCCTCAAAATTAAGTCATAAGGTAATTAATCCTTAAACATGATTTCTTTGTGAGTAAGAATAATATCTTGTATTAAGAATAATAACTTAAATATAAGTGGCTAACAAACCTAAGTCTATTCCTAGTACTAGAGTTTGTTATTTTATACACATCTTCAAAATAAGATAAATTTATAAATTTTAATTTTGCTGCTGCAGCTATAGGTTCATGACTCTAGTCGAGATCTAGATTGTTTTAATTACTTATTCTTCTTATAACTGCAGCTGTAAATTCATAATCATGGTTGTAACTCTCTAGAATTCTCATTTTGTTGCACAATTTCATAGCTGTACCCTAAATTTTAAACTTCATCAAATTCTGCATAAAAAAAGAGGTATTTTAAACTAAAACACTACTATTCTTGTGGCTTCTTAAATTAGATTAATTTACCTACTTTGAGAATTAATATACTCAAAATTATTTACATTTTAATTCAAAAAAAATATCAAATTAATTATAAAATATAAATTTCTAGCATTTAACATTTCTCAACGACGTGGGATTAGTTTAGAACTCTTTCGATCAATGTCACAAAAGCTTGGTCGGAAAAATACAAATACACGTTAGGAATTTAATTGTCGTAATGTAAAAATATCTCTACTTTTTTTCAACTTCAAATATTCACATGTAAAATATGAGGCTCATTTTTTCATGAGAAAAAGACAGAAAAAATATCGAAAAATTCGAAAAATTCTAAAATTATGTGAAAATTTCAATGGACAATTTTAAAATTGTTAATAGCATTTTATTATTATTTTAAAAATGATCATTTTTTAAAATTGGTGTTGATGACTTTTTTATATTTTATCTTTAAATTGTTATACTTATACAAAAAATTACTAATCAATGATTTTTAAATTATATTTTTATAATATTTTAAATTTTAATATATATTATTTCTAAATATGGTAGGACACCATTTTAGCCGGTAATGAAGCAAGGGCATCACTGAGGTCGGCCTCGTGACAAGAAAATCCTTTTGTTTTGGTCTGAGGATGAAAATTTGTCGTGTCTGCATATCATTTCATGTTTTTAATGGATTCACATTTTCTATTGTCGTCAGAGAACTAAATATCTAATTTTATTTTTATTCAAATAAACAAAACAATTTTAATTATTTTTCATGAAGAAGAGATGAACTAAAAATGTGAGGAAGAAGTGATCGAGAATGAGGAGAATGGCGTACGGAAGTAGGGATAGAAGAATTGAGGATGGAAGTGAAAGAGAAAAGTTAGATACAAATGAGAAGAAAGAAAAGAGAAAAATTGAATATAAAATTAGAAAATAAGACTATTTTAATTTATTTTTAAAAAAATAGTTTTTAATTTTTAAAAATTAAAAATTAAAAAAATATATGCAAAATTGACGATTCTAAAACTCGTTTAACCAAATTTTGGTAATAAAATTTTTATTAATTTTTTATTTTTACTTAAATAAATTCATTTTTATTTAAATAAACTGAAAGTCTAATTTAGGCCGTATTAGTAGGATAGTGCTTTTTTACATTAATTATTGTCTTGTGAACCACATTTTTCAGCTGTGCAAAATACAATTTGTTATGTGCTGTACGTGTTTGTTTATAATTGCCAATCTTAGTCCATTCCATTTTCTTTGAAAATAGTTTTATTCTTTTGTGTTTAATTATGAAATATTATATTAAGATTAATAATTATTAATTTTTATAATAATTAATATCAAAATTATATTTATAGTATATTTTAATTGATTGATAACCATACCAAAATTAAATAATTGTATTATTATGTATTTTATTTCTTATTGGTAAAATTTTTTAGATTATTAGTAATACAATTTAAATATAAATAGATTTATCAATTTTATAGATATTTTAATTAATTAAACAAATCTTAATTTTTTTACCATGTAATTCAGAGTAAAAATAACCTTGATCAAGGTGTGGTTTTACTTTTGTCAGGTTACTTCTTTCTTTTATTTATTTGATTATGTCATTTAAAATCTTTTAAATTTCTTTTTGTCCAAATGGCAGACCTAATTCCCTTAACAGATATTTCTTTATATATGGCTTAAACTTGAAGCCCTCTTTAAAAGAATAATTTAGTTTTAAGTAATTACTTAATTTCTTGAAAATCTTTTGTTTCCAAATAAACTATTCTTAAAATGTTTTCAAAATAAACTTATTGGTGATGCTTGGAAACAACGGAGTCTAGCTCTTGCAAGTTATATTTCCTACTTGTTTTAGAAACTATAAATTTAGAAATATCGTGAGCTCTTTCCCATTCAAAAGATTAGTTTATCACAGATCTATTTATCCAATATAATTGAAAACAAAGGAGACATTTCATAACCAAAAAGAAAACTATGTCAGTTTCAGCAACTTCGTCGTTAAGTCCCCCAATTCCTATTGCTTCCTCCAACTTCTCTCGACGTTCAGCTGACTATCATCCCACCGTTTGGGGCGATCGATTTATTCAATATGTTTTGGAAGCTACGGTAATATAATTTTATTCTTTTATACTAATAGTATGATGTAGCTGTAATTTGATGTGCCTATACTATATATCAATTAGATGCTAATAGATTTGTCAGTTAAAATGATATATTATATATATTATTAGTGTAAATTTGTAATATCTATATTACCAATATAATCTTATCATAAATAATGAAGGCAAACTCAGTCTAACCATTAATAAATGACATTTTACTAAATATATTGAATCCACCAAATTTTTGTAAATATATGTATCTGTTACGTTTAGACTTAAGTGTCACAGTATATGCATTCATTCTTTCCATTTTCAAAACTTTACTCATATTACTAACACACAAAAAGAAATATAATAACATGCAGGAAGTGGATGGAATCATCGATGAGCATTTTATAATATTAAAAGAAAAGGTGAGAAAGATGCTAGTCCCTGAGAATGAGAATGCCATAAGATCCTTGGAGGATGCTAAATTGATTGATTCAATCCAACGGTTGGGAATATACTATCATTTTGAACACGAGATTGAACTTGTGTTGCAAAGTATTCATCATAACTATGTTGAAAATGGTGTAATAACTCAAATTGGAGACCTCTGTTCTCTTGCCCTTGTCTTTAGGTTACTTAGGCAACAAGGATATCACATTTCGCCTGGTATGCCCACCTTATCTATTTTATTAAATTTTAATTGTATTTGAAAATCTAATACGTAATTAACATGAGAACTAATAAAAAAGAATGGATCCAATCCATAAACATAAACTGTATATCTTATTGTTGGTGTGAATAAATCTCAGGTATTTTTAAGAAGTTCAAGAATGAGGAAGGAAAATTCAATGAAGCACTTACTACGGATGTTGAGGGAATTTTAAGCTTGTACGAAGCTACACATCTCAGGATTCATGGAGAAGACATATTAGATGAAGCTCTGGCTTTCACTTCCTCACACCTTGAGTACATGACCACCCAATTGAGCCCCTCTCTTGCAGCAAAAGTTAATCATAGTTTAAAGTGGCCACTGTACAAGAACTTGCCAAGACTAGTGACAAGGCATTACATTTCTACTTATGAAGAAGACCCTTCCCATGATGAAACTTTGCTACTGTTTGCCAAATTAGATTTTAACGTACTTCAAAAACAACATCAGAAAGAAGTTGGTAGTATTTCAAAGTAATTATTTTCAAATAACGAGACCTCCTTAATAAATAATTGAAAATTATTGATTTCATGCAAGTGACTCATATCTTGGATTGGTTCTTCAATGAATTAGATGGTGGAAAGATTTGGATTTTGCAACAAAACTTCCTTTTGCACGTGATAGGCTGGTGGAAACATACTTTTGGTCATTAGGGGTGTATTTTGAGCCCCAGTATTCTCTCGGTAGAAGAATAATGACCAAGGTGACATCCATGGCATCAATAATTGATGATATATATGATGTTCACGGCACATTTGAAGAGCTACATCTTTTTACTTATGCAATAGAAAGGTTAGAGGTTTAAACTAACTATGACATGGTTTCATTTTCATTCTAACGGAATTAATTATTTAAGAAAAAACTATTAACCTCAGGATGACCATTGAGAAAATTTATGGACATTTTAGGTGGGATATTAGCTGCATGGATTTTCTCCCAGAATATATGAAAATTTGCTATCAAGCACTCTTGGATATTTTTAAAGAAATTGAGCAAGAGATGGACAAAGAAGGAAGAGCATTTTGTGTAATCTATGTTAGAAATGAAGTATAACTCTTGCTCTATATGCTTTTATACCAAATGTTTTCTTTGTTTGGAAAATATGTAAACGGTAACTTTCATTTGTACTGACGTATTGTGGTGTGCTGCCAGATAAAAAGATTGATCCAAGCATACTTTGCTGAAGCCAAATGGCTAAATAGCAATTACACACCGACAGTGGAAGAGTACATGCGTGTTGCACAAGCATCTTCTGGTTATCGTCTGCTCACAGCCATAGCCTTTGTTGGGTTGGGATGTATTGCTACGGAAAAGGTTTTCCAGTGGTTAACCAGTGATCCTAAACTTATAAATGCTTCAACCAAAATTAGTAGGCTCATGGATGATGTTGTTTCCAACGAGGTATTTAAGAACCACACTAATCAACTTCCTCCTATATTTGATTTATATATACTCCTCTTTTTTTATAAGAAACAATTATTCTTAATTATTTTTTTATTTATAAAAGATAAAAACATGTTTTTTATATATTAATTATTAAATATTTTTTAACATATACTTTTATTTATCGCAAGATTTGTGTTAATAAAACATTTATCTATTATCCATTTAAATATATATATATATTATATATATATATATATATATATATTCATTCATGTAATATATGAATTATCAATTTGATTATTTATTATTATAAGTATTTTTTTTAAATATACTAGTCCTTTTTATCATATTTATAAGAAATAGTTATCAATATTTTTTTTTTGAAACCATAATTAAACAAATATTCATTTTCGAATGCATTTATTGATAAATCATTTTTATATCTATGAGATTATGCCAACGACATGTCCACCTAGCTATTAAATAAAGAAAATATATTTATTCATTTCATTGTACAAGTTATCAATTAATGGTTTATTAGTATGAGTATTTTTAAATACAGTTTAATTTTATGGCATATATTTAATGAATTATTTATTTTCTTTTTATATATATAAAAAAAAAAGCTGAATGAAGTATTCTAAACTACATATTTGACTATTTCAACCATTTCTTTTAATTAGCTTGAACAAAAGAGGGGGCATGTTGCCTCTGCCCTTGAGTGCTACATAAGGCAACACAGTGTCACAAGACAAGATGCCGTTGACGAATTATATAGACAAGTTATGAATGCATGGAAGGATATCAATGAGGAAGGCCTTGAACCTGCTGAAGTGCCAAAGCCTCTTCTCAAAGTAGTTCTCAACCTGTCACGAGTAATGCATGTGCTTTACAATGATGGAGATTGCTACACCCACTCTGAAGGATCAACAAAGAAAGACATTGCTGCTCTCCTATTGAATTCATGGCCAGTATGAGAACAAGGGATCCCTTCTTCAATTGGATCTGTTGCAATGTATATTGTGAATAAACTGGAAACTGTGATAGTGATGTAGTTGACAATGATGATTAATGTTCCATCTATATGACCATAATTCGTGAGACTACAAACTAAATTGCAAAAAGAACAATATATTAACTCGATCTGTTTGTCACCCAAATATTTGAACCATGCACAGATACAATCAATGTTTCTTTTACACAAAAAAGACTTTATCAGCATTTTACTGATGTATATTTTATCATTAACTAAATTTTACTAGGATTGACAAGACTTAAATTTAAGACCCATTAAATTCGAAATGAAGCTCACATAATCTGAGTGTATGTATGTCAATAAGTTTGACTTGTGCAAAACATAATTTCTGCCTATGTATTTCCAAATGTAATGAAAACGCAAGGCCAACTTAGTTCAATTAATCAAGAATTATTTAATTGAAAAGGTAAAAGTACTATTCACGAATTTAGAATCACCAAGTTATTAAAATTTAAGTATGCTTAATTAAATTATAAAATTAATAAGGCGTCTCGTCTATATTAATCCTTTTTAATTAAAATAAAATATATAATTTACAATAAATTAGATATCATTAAGCTGTTATCACTCATATGTCTCGAATTAAATAATAGGTTTAATAAAGCATATAATAGCTAGAGATGAACATTTTTAGCGTAAAATAAACTTGAAACTAAGAAATATTTTTATACTTTTTTTCTTTTATTATTTAATTTTGTAAAAATAAAAATTTCCAATTAAAAATTAAAATGGACAAACATAGAGATCAGAGATTAAACGATACTTGTATGACACATAATCACAATAATGATAACAAAAAAAAAAAAAAACAGCATTTCAGTCAAAAAGTCCACAGATCCGGATTGTCTCCAGTTTAGGCGAGAACTAGACCTCTAATTTTTTATTCGCTTAAGCAAAAAAATTTGTTTAAACGAAAATGAGTTATTTTCGCTTAAAATTATGACAAAATGGCCCAATTTTCATAAAATAAATGGCTTAGGCGAAAATAATAGACTTAAGCGAAAATGGACAGAAAATTTTAATTTTCACTCAATTTTCTCTTTTCCTTCCCCCTAAACATAACATTTCCTCCTCAACCTCTATATTCAATCTCTTTTAACCTCCATATTCAACTTTCTTTTTTCTCTTATACTTAATTCTTCTCTTTCCCTCCTAACTCTTTTTTCCTTTAACCTCATACCTAACTCTTCTCCTCCTCTTCTCATTCTCACCTCACCCAATACTTATCTTTTTCTCTTTTATCTATATTCAACTCTTCACTTTCTTCTTCCTCCACTGTCAAAATTTTTTAATGCAAAATTAGCTTAAGTTAATTTTTCTGGCTTAAGCGAATTGTATATTCGCTTAAACGAATTATTTTATTTTAAGTGAATTTTGTGTGTTTGAAGATATGAAGGCTGAATGTAGAGAAAAGAAAGAATTAAAAACGGATGTAGATAAGGAGAGCAGGTGATATAGTAGTGACGGTAGAAGAAGAGAAAATTAAAGAGTTGAGTATAAAAGCATAAGCATGGCTCCACTCTCTTTAAGCTTTTCCTTTTTTTAATAAAAAAGCAGAAGCATGGGTCTACTCTCAAAGCTCGTAAATGTAATTTTCCCATGTATTAAGAAAACTGAAAGAGAATGTAAAATATATTGGGAATCACGTCTGAGAGAGAAAAGCGTGTAAGTAGAAGCAAATCTCTCATTTTATTATGGCCCATGCAACTTGCAAGGCCGTACCCAAAGAAACTTCTCAACACTCTCAAATGCCTCAATTCAGAATATCAATAACGTCACTCATTTTCACTCTCAATCAAATTTATGTCTCTCATCCAATTTTAAAATCAGTGGTCTTTACAAATTTTAAGTGGTTCGCCAATGTCACAAAAGTTTCATAGCAGAAATACACGTTAGGAACTTAATTGTCCTAATGTGAAAATATCTCTACTTTTAAACTTCAAATATTCACATGTAAAATGACGCTCAATTTTTTATTAAAAGAAAGAAAACAAAACTAAAATACAGTATTTTAAGAAAATTATAAAAATATACAAATTTTCAAGTTCATAAGTTTTGACAAAAAAAATCATTTTTTGGTATTTTAAAAATATTTTATTATTATTTTAAAATCACTGTTAATAAATTTTAATTTTTTAAATTTTTTCTGAAAAATTACCATTTGACATATTGATAATTTTTGAATTTTATGTTTTTATAATTTTTTAATTTCAGTATATATTATTTTAAAATACTTTATATATAAAAAATAAACTAAATATGAAGCTGAATATATATACATTGGACCACCACTGGTCCCTTTTAGCAACAAATGCATGATAAAAACATCATAAATTTTTTCTGATGCAAATTGAGAGGACACCATTTTAGCCGGTAATGAAGCAATCAAGGCCACTCAGGTCGGCCACGTGACAATAATCCTCTTTCACTTGTTTTTCCTATGGTGTTGTCCATTCTCAAATTTTTCTGGACCAGCTCACATTAATTTCTCAGAAATTACTTTTTTATTGTTTCTTTTAAATATGCGTCTATAAAATCAATCTTTTCAATAAGAAATTTTATATTTTAACTTTCACTTGTTTAATTTTTTTTTAGTTAACAGCAATTACAAACTGTGAAAAAAGTTAATTTTAGTTTTTCAAGACAAATGTACTTAATTAATAGTCATTAACCTTTTATATATATATATATAGTAAAAAAAGAAACATAACCACCACTAATAGTGTTTAATCTTTCATCATTTTCCTCTGGTCCACAACATGAATAATAGTCTGGTTTTATTGCCCACTAATTCAAATAGGAGAAAACAAGGCTCGTTAAGCTGTAAGGTAGCTTTCCTTCACTTGTATTAGTGAGCTTGTGATGATGAATCATTTAACTACACTTTTTAGTCCATTTAATTTTATTTTTTTTCACTAAAGACATATAAGTGATATAACTTCCAAATTTTCTAAGATTTTTTTTTTTTTTTAGATTTTTAAAAGATGTTTTAAATATAAATATATTATTAATTTTATAGATGCGCTTGTTGAAAATAAGTTAAATTTTCGAATACATTAATAATCAGTGTGAAATTTATACTTGCCTCTCGTGATGGAAGAGATGTCACTTTTGAAGTGTGCTGAAAAGTGATACACAGTGACTTTTTTCGTATGAGGCATATCACCATCATATAAAAAGAATCTTGTAAAGATAGTTAAGGAACACACGTCTTTCAAACGTGTGAGGAATATATAATTGGATCTGGGATAATTAGATTTTACTTGAGTAGTGGAGAATTAATCTTATGTGAAAAAAGGAGTGCGTATTTATTATTTTTACAACATATATTTGGGGAAATTTTAAAATCTTTCAATAAATTTATAATTTTGTTGATATAAAAATATACTTTATTGTATCTTTTTAATGGATTATATAAATAAAAGATGTTGAACCACGCAAATTTTGTGTTTACCATTTTTTGGGTGACGTGCATGTGTATGCATTCTTGTCATCAATTTTGTGTGTGCTGGGTAACTTTTAAATTTTATGGGTGAAATTCATTCCTCAAGGGTCGGTTTTAATTTTGCCACAGCAATTTTTATTTATTTTTATTTTATAGTGTCATTTAATTTTACTCTACTTAGGATAAACATCAAAATATGTACGTTTAAGAATTGGTTAATTTTAAAAATAAATAACTTAAAGCTGTTTAAGAAAAATCCTCTAAATAAGATTTTGATGAAAAATGACTTTAGATATCAAAACAAAATCCACAAAAATGTTGGCATTAAAATCAATAACAAGACGAAACTAGAGAAGTTCACATTGGTGGTGGTTAGAAACAGAAACATAGGCTGAAAATCCTATAAATGTGGACATCATGTATTTCGCACTTAAGAGAAAATATTAATTTCTCAACCATTCAGTGTATAGAGAGAGAAATACAAGTGACATTTCATAACTGGAACAAAAAAATTATGTTAGTTTCAACGTCTTCATCAGTAGTTTCCCCAACTTCTAATGCATATTTTGATTTCTCTCGACGTTCAGCAAATTTTCATCCCACCATATGGGGAGATCATTTTATTCACTATACTTTGGAGCCTACGGTAATGATACTTTGTTCTTATTAGTTATTAACCTTTGCATGAGCGACATGAACATAATCCTATTGCACATTATCTAATGGACAAAATCATAATGATTAAAAAACATTTCATATTTTAATGGCAAAATATTTTAGATGTTGAGATTATTTTTATTGATATAACCTTTATTTAATAAAATTTATCTATTTATATGATGTATCTTATTATTATATAGACCCATAACATTATACTAGCAAATTAATAAATGACATTTTTTGTAGTGTATATTTTCAGTCAATTAAACTTTGTGTATGTATCCCCCGAGAATTTTACACCTCTTGCATTTATTTAGTATCTGTGAAAGATGTTCAATGCATTATATATGTATTCATTCCCTCTATTTTCGGAAACTTTAATCATGTTACTAACATGACAAAAGCCAATTTAACGTGCAGGAAGTGGATGAAATAAAGGAGGAGCATATTAGAATATTAAAAGAAAAAGTAAGAAAGATTTTAGTTCTAGTAAATGATACGGCCTTAACGCCTAAGGACGCTAACCTGATTGATTCAATCCAACGCTTGGGATTATACTATCATTTTGAACAGGAGATTGCTGATGTGTTGCAACATATTCACAGAAACTATGTAGAAAATGGCATAATAACCTTCAATGGAGATCTCCATTCTATTGCTCTTGTCTTTAGATTACTGAGGCAACAAGGATATAACATTTCGTCCGGTACGATCACCCTATCTAATTCTTTCTAAATTTAATTGTGTTGGAACACATAATGAATAAGAGAACACACAAAAAATTACTAGAATTTTGAGTATTTGCTTCGTCGAAACGTGTAGGGAGAGACTAAACT